AGGTATGCAGTTTCGTTTATGTTGCTGGGCTTTGGAGGCAAACAGAGCATGAAGGGGCAAGTACCACGTCCCCAGGGGGCAGCGGTTTTGCCACTGTTGTGGTACTAATAGCCGAATTGAGGATGTGAACCCCTGTTATTGGAATGCCCAGCCTATAATGATATTCGTGCTGAAGAAGGATTCGATCATCAACAGAGCATGTTGGAGGCCATGCAATGGGAACCCGCACGTCTGGCGAGGAAATTGGAACGTATGTGGGCTCACCGAAACTCAATTACCCCCTTTAGACGCTAGTCTGGGCTGATGTGCGGTGTTTTCCTTTCCTCCGTGGCTTTTAGGTGTTGTAGTATTACCCTTGGGCCCTCGGCTCGTATGGGTAATCTTACAGGTATGGGGTCACGCACCCCCAACCATGTAACACACACACACACATAACACGTCTTCGTCGCAATTAAGCCCGTGAAATTTTACGGGTGCTGTGCATTACGGCTTGGGGGATTACGGGTCAAGACCTTGTGATTACGGGTAATGTAACCTGTGGATGACTTCCAGCACGGGCAACCAACAAAATGTCACCTGTGTTATTCCTTATAAAAGGAATGCTTTGGCAACTTAAAAATAAGCATGTGTACAAATTTTCTTGGCCGGTAATTACATGTGAAGACCACATGATTACGGGTAAACATGAATTTACGGGTGAAAACCTTTCCCAGAGTGTTACATTTTTGGGAATAAATGGGGGTCTGAGCGTGGAAGAAATGGAATAATTGGTCAGTTGGCCGTACTGGTTCATTACTTCGGCCATAAGTCGCCCCAAATGCCTTCTGCACATATAAAGCTGAACATTTGGAGCTTATACACTATTTATGTATTAAATATGTGATGATATAACCATGAGACGGCCCGCTGTTGCATTCAACTTAGGTCAAGGGGGCATTCGTTCATTCTTGACCAAAGCAAACGGCTCAGAAAGTCCGCAGACACAATGTCCCAAACATTTAGAAGAAGAATTAGATAATATAGAAGACACGGATAGGCATGCTGTAGTTGCCGCTCTTGAAGTCAGTGAAGCCAGCGATTTGAGTGAAGCTGAGGATCCCCCGGCGAAGTGGCAACACACAACTGCAGCAATCAGCGACTCAGCTGAGCAGCTTGATTCTGACGAGGAAGGGCCACCGCCCCAAGATGTCGCCACGGCACCACCACCACCTTCAAGGGCAGGTGCTTCACAGCACGCGCCGCTGGTGATTCAAAAGCAGGCGCAGTGCCAGCAAACACAGCGTGTGCCGAAAGGCCAAAGCAATGGGAGATGGCGGGAGAATGAGGGAGTGCGTCGCTTCCAGGCGCACTGGACAGCTTTGTTCGAATGGGCTGAGTGTGTTGCACCAGATATGGAGGCTGGCGAGGTGCACGACCGTGTCCGGTGTGGTCCCTGCTCCCTCAGCTGGCAGTGGGACATCACGATGGATGCCAGGCAGGCCACACTAAAAAGCCACGAGCTCACCAAAAATCACCAAGAAGCCATGTGCAACCATGAAGCATGGGCCCTTCAGCACGAGCGGCACCAGCTGACAGCATGGACGGTCGACAACCTTTTGTCCAGAGCACTCATTAAGTCTGAGAGGGGAGTTGTGCAGCAGCTGCGGCAGCTCTTCTTCATGCTGGATCATGGGCGCCCCATCCTCGACTATGTCGGCTCTAAGGACCTGTTCCAGGTGCTGGACGTGCCACACTACCGTGATAAGCACTGGAGCTGCAACAGTGCCTGGCAGCTTGCCGAGGCCCTGGATGCAGTGCTCATGGACGAAATCCGCAGGCTGGTCACCGCCAACCGCTTTGTATCTGTGAGCCTGGACGAGTCCACGGGCATTGACAAGAGGTCCCGGCTGTGTGTTCACGTCTACATCATGGAGGGCTGGAGCCGGATCCCGCTGTGCATTGATGTAAGGCCAGGATGGGTTTAAGGTTTAAAATTGACGTAGTGCCGGGGTGAATTGCTGGGAGCCCAGCTCTTTTAACCGTTACTCAATTTTTCACATTTCCTCAGTCTAGATGGCTTCCTCCTTCAACCGTTCTTTTGGCCGCGGATAGACCCCATTAAAGTCTCTGTTGTCTCTCTTTTCGTGTCCTACAGCTGGCAAAACTGGAGGCGGCACCGACAGCGGACAACATCACCAGCTTGCTGCTGGAGGTGCTGGCGGATGGAGCTGGGCTGACAGCCAACGAACTTGTGCAGAAGCTGGTCACCGTGAGCATGGACGGGGCAAGCGTCATGACGGGAGTACACAACGGGGTCTCGACTCAGATGACAGACCTTGC